TGACTGGAGCACTGTTTTTCATTCTTCTCTTTCTCTCAATCCCACCAGGAGCTGAGCAAGCGAGAGGTGATGAGGGTTGCCAACCTGGAAATCCCTGCAGAATTGGTTGGATTGCTGAACACTGTGGCAGGTATTATCCCTTTATTACCTGGGATTCTTCCACATGGGGTGGGATGAGGCTTGAAATTGCAGACCCCATTGGTAAGGAGAGCTGGACTTGAACCCCTTTTCTCCTTGAGGGATTCTAGAATCTGTGTCCCTGAGATCTAACAAATCTATACCATCTTCGCAGGCTTTCATAGAACTATACCATTGTGAACTTGGAAGAAATCCCTGTTTATGATGAGCAACTCCTAACTCCATCCCTTCCAAGTGTTCCACTTTCACAGGGGCAGCTGCTGTTAATTCTCTGCTGTCCCACTTTCTCAACTGCTTTTCAAATGTCCCAGCTTTTCTCTCCTCCCTCCACCTTTGTCCTCAGCTTCCTTCAGTTGCTGCAAACTGAGTTCAAAGAGCAAAAGTGACTTATATTCAATAAACTCAGCAGTTGTGTGCCAGCGTGGCACAGTAGTTTGAGTGTTGGAGTATGACTCTGGAGTCCAGGATTTGATTCCCACCTGGGCCTACTGGGTGGCCTTGGGCAAGCCACACTCTCTCAGTCTCAAGGGAAGTCAATGGCAAACCTCCCCTGCACAAATCTTGTCAAGAGAACACCATGATAGGGTAGCCATAAGTTGGAAACAACTTGAAGGCACGCAACGACAACCGCAACAACAAGCAACTGTGGCTAGTGCTTCACATCTCCTGCTTGGTGGCATCAGTAGGGCCTTCCCAGTGTAACATCTCACCCATTGCTTCCCCAGGACCCAACCCATAGCCTCTTGTTTGGGGACTCCTTCCATCTTCTCCCCGCGTCCCCCATGGCTGCCTCCTTGCACAATCCTTTCCTTTCCTGTCTCCCCATAGTTCACAAGCAGGTGAATGAGGGCTGCGTGGCCTCCATCCCTCGTCCCAAACTGCAGGAGGACTCCCAGCTCACCTTGCCCCTCGACATCAACAACTACCCCATGACCAAATACGTGCGGATTCATTTCAAGGTAAGCTCTCAGGCTGGAAAAAAAAATTACAATTTCTAGTTCT